AATTCACTACCAGCACTGTGAGTATCCACACACCAGTGGGGTGATGCATGGCCACGGTAGTTTTAATTCATGGGATGTTGATATCTGCTGTCTCTCCGAGCTGGTTGGGCTGATGGGAGGAACTTTGATGGATAACTGTGGAATGAGACTTCCAGGAGAGAAAAAGGAAGAAGGAAAAGACTGATTCATGAACCAGCAAAAGTATTTGGTGACCGATTTGGATGAGGCACTGAAGGAGCTCAAATAAGGTGGCAAACAGCCCATGTCTGATTGCACCAAAGAGGATGCAGTTGTTTCATAGCAATTGGCTGTAGACATATCAGAGTTATTAATACTTACGAGTGAAATGCTGAGCAGTGAGAGAGATTTGGGGTTTATGGCTTGGCTATGATTTCAAGAGGGCTGTAAGTACTCTAAATTGTTAACAGGTAGCTGGTAAAATCTGTATTTCACTGATAGCTCTAACAGATGTGTGTGCTGGCAGTAAACGTGTAGACATTCTTCAGTACATCTGGTTTTAATCAGTTAAAGATTTTTCTGATGTTTTATTAGCAAAGTCTTCTCTGTTCTGTTCTCATGTGTCCCAAGGTAGTCCTGGAGAGAAAGGGAAAAAAAAATACAGAGATTGCAGATGACAAATTTTTAGAGCTGGTTAAGGTAGAAATGAAGAATTGGAAGGTGAAATGACGTGGCCTTGTTCATTCCAGCCTTCATGATCCATAAATGTGGAATATCTGAAATGTGCATAGTAAATTTAGAAATCACAGAGCAGTGCAGAGGTCTATATGCTAATAAATCAGAAATGCTTGTGTACCCCCTGTCTGTATTCATATGAGTGTGTCAACAAGGAGCAGTAAGTGATGTATCTTAAGTGGACATCAAATCTGTACAAATATGGAAGGTCTAACTTATTTGTGCTCAAGTCACTGAACATCCTTGGAGGAATGTTTTTATTATTTATATTATTCTGAATTTTCATTCCATCCTAAAGGATCTCTGAATATTTATTAGCGTAGGACCAAAGTTTCCCCTTAGTTACACTCTTACAAACTGCAGATATGTCACAAAACTCAAAGAAGTCATGCAGAGGCCAGTTTATGCCCCTGTGGACCCAAACTGGATTCGTGTCAGTTCTGGAGTCTGGGTCCTTCCTTCCCATCTCCATCAGGAGCTGAGCTTGGGGCTAACAGCACACATGTGCTCTCTGTCCATCATGGGTGCTCCAATCTTTCTGTTGTAAAGTTGTGGTTAAAGATCTCCTTCAGTATGGTGCAATTATGGAGAGCCATAAAAATACAGCACAGGTCTTGGGCTGTGTGATCCTTTCTCCTGCCAGGACAGAATTCTTCTCTCTGGAAGGACATTTATGTCTGTGGGGCCACAGGATCTTGCAGCACAGCACTGCCACAGCTCCCTGGTGTGAGAGGGGGATTTTATTGTGCCAGGTAAATACATCCCTGCCCTCCATTTGAGTGAAAAAGGAATGACATCTAGTGGCCATGTCACTTCAGCACAGGTCCTTCACATGACCCAGGCTGTGGCTCCCTGTCTCCAGATGCAAGTTGGGTTTGAGGTTTTGGGGAGCAGGGTGAGCTGGGTCAGGGTTACTTGCATAAGCACATTGGTGCCTTCTACAGGGCAGCATCCCCTCCAGATGGGTGTATTTTAATGGCTTTCCAAAGGACTTCTCCAAGCTGATGGAAGGTGGGATAATGGAAATTTTCTTTCAGGTGAATTCTGAGTATTTAATGTCTCGGTGTGTGTTAAACGTGGAAGGAATAAAAGCCATCAAGAGAATTACCCACAGAGCTGTGTTAAATGGATTAGAAAATGCTACTCTTCCTCTAAGCAGAGTTGATGTGTACCATTATTTCTCTAATTTCAATCACCGAAGAAAGAGCGAGGGCCAAAGGGCTTTCCACAGTGGCACATGGGACTTCTCTATAAAGAGTTGAAAACCAAGGGTGATTTACAATAATACTTTCTGATTCTATGGAAACAAATATCTTTGATATACTCCTGGGTATAGCCAGGCTGAATTTCATGTGAGTATGAAAGTATAATATGTTTTTTTCCTTACTGGCAGAGGGAACAGCATCAGGCTGATGAGTTTCTTTAAGCCTGAGCTGAATCTCCTCGCTGTCCTCAAATAGTCTGATCTGCATTTTAACACCTCTAAAAAAAATAGCAAAAATCACTTTCCAGGAAATCTACAGCTCCTCAGAGAGTGAGAAAGCCCATGGTCTCTTTTAAGTCTGCGGACTGTTTGGAGAGATATTGTATATTTTTATTTTAAATAGTTGTATTGAGATGCTGCTGTAAAAACAAAAATAGGCTGAATAAGTGAAACTGTGGCTTGTTCTTTGGCAAGCTGCCAGATGAGAGGAACTCAGGAGCTGTATTCATCCCAGACAGATACAAAGGCCCACCCTATAGCGCTCTTAAATTACCTGTCATTCAGCCAGGGTGGTTTCAGACTTAATCGTTTCTGGATGGGAATGTAGCTCAGGAGGACACTGCACCACGCTGGTGTCACAGCTCATGGATTCAGCAGCAGGAATTAATGTTGCTGTGTAAAATTTAACAACGGGATGGGGGAGAGGAAAGCATCCTCTGTGATGGTCAAGAGAGTCAGGGCACAGTGCAGAGGGGAAGTGCATGGAGCACGTGGAGCTTCAGACACAGACACAGGAATGCCAAAATGACACATCCAGCAGAGGTGTGCTGGACATCCAAAATACCAGATGGGCTGGCATCAAAGTGTAGTGCTGGATGAGAAGCAGTAAAAGAGCAACACAATTACAGAGGAGATCCTTAAAGGTACAAAATGAAGATACCTCAGTAAAACTCCAAAATGCCTGTGTGCCTCCATGGCAATTGGTGTCAGTGGGTTTCACATCCTTTGGTCCACCACCTGAAAGGCAGGGGAAGAAAGAGCCCCACCTTCTCAAGCAAAGGGTTCTGAAATTATGCAGGAGGAAAGGAAATCAGAGTCTCTGGATGAAACAATTTGGAACTCAAGTCTGCTGTTAACTCTAAGGCCATTGTCCATCAGCATGGCCAGTCCTGACAGTCATGAGGACTACATGCATTGAGCTGCAGCACAGCCAGGACCAGGTGCCTCCTCTGGTCCTTTCCAGCTCTTTTTTTGTGGTGGTGAATGTTTTCTTGATCATCAGTGCTACCTGTGCCTGTGCTGAGAAGCATCACAGAGCAGCCAGCAGTGGGGAAGTGTCTCCTGAGAGACACCACAAGAGAGGAGCATCCCCTGAAACACTGTAAACCTCACAGGCAGCTGTTTGGGGCATTTTTAATGGTTTAGTGCAGGATTGTGACCCTGGGAATGTTCTTCTGGCTATCTAAGGGGCTTCAGCTTGTCCACAGTGTTGTGTTCTTCATGTGACATTGTTGCTTGCAAAAGGAAATGAGGGGAGGCAGCTCTTCCCTCTGCCAAAGAGGAGAGGTAGCACAGACTCCTCAATGTGCCAAACCAGGCCATGGCCACAGGCTCTGGGTCAGGTGCCATCGAAAAAGGTATTTTAATCCCACCTGCCCAAGTTTTCTGTGACTCATTCATTTCTGTGGAATTTTTGGTGGATTTTGCACCAAAATTGACTTGCCAAGTCAGCAGCTGTTGTAAAATATTGAGATTTTAACTGGCCTGTGTAGGAATTTTTACTGGAGAACTGTCTCTCTTACTGTTGTAGGATAAAGGTATCACTGTGTCCTCCATTATCCAGAGTCCTTGTTACTTATAACAGGGTCATGTCTTCTAACATGTCTTAATTATGGGGAAATTCCTCGGTCTCCCTTCAAATATTTATCTCCTGTGTGCAAGTGAGTTGTGGTTTTTCCATATTAATATGGATCCATAGCCTCTGGCCAGATGCTCACCACAGATAGAGGGAGTGCAGTGAAATTAGAGTTGGTATTTCAGAGATTAAAAGTCAGCTGAGACAGAACAATGCTGGATAGTCTCAGGTGATGTTTTATGTAAGATTGAAGCATCTTTCTTGCTCACAGGAGGAGCACCTTTAATTCCAGTGAAATCTTTAACTCCTCTCAGGCAGAATGCCCTTTCCAGTCTGACCCATGATACTGTTAACAGCCATCCAAGGATTTCCACTTTATCTGAGAAAATGCATAATCAGAGGGGAGGAGAAGTGAAAGAAATCCATGCCTACACTTGACTCATACAAAGTCTATTTTTATCATATTCAATCAGGAACAATCAGGCACAGAGAGGAGACGCAGATGAATTTGCATGATCAGACTTCTGTGTCTGAAATGTTAATTAAAAGTTATTTTAAATTTGCCTACTGTGCAGAACTTGTTTTTATAGTAGCCCATGTAAGTAAAATATTATTTCACAGGGCTAAAGTGCTCATGATTACTTGAGCTTGTCGATTTTTAGGAAAACCTGCCTGGCAATCAACCTCTCTCAAAAAAAAAAATTTAAAAAATGAAATAAAATAAAAAAAAATCTTGGAGGGGGTGCAGGAAGAAAGGGGAAAAAAAGAAACTGGGCTATTCAAGTTCTTTAAGCTCCTGAGCCTTAGGAGGTCTTATTTAAAGCTACTTTAAAATTTGCCCTTTGGCACTACTTTGAGAATCTCCTCTTCCAAAGCTGAATCCAGCGGAGTCTGTTTTAAAGAGGCAGCTCTAGGACAGCATCCCCTTCCCTGCCTCACCAGCTCATCCTGACACTGACACCAGTTAGGAACAGCTCCAAAGGTTTAGGACTGCACTGTTGGAGATGGGTGGGTGCTTCCCAGCTCACAGGGAAGCATTTGCTAGCATTTGCTGGCCTGGGAAAGGCTGCCTGGCCAAAGACTGGCTGAACTCAAAGCTGTGTGGAGTAACCTGAGTTCAGAGAGCTGTGCTGGAGCAGGAGGGATGTGTTCCTGGGTAAGGTGGAGCTGGTTACAACATGAGCTTGGCTAATCAGTGAAGGAGCAAGTCCTTGCTGCAAGCACATTGGGAAAAGCAGTTCTTGCCCATTTTAAACTGGCCTGTTTAATGAATATTGTCAGACCAGGCTCACTCCTGGCTGCTGCAGTGAGGCTGAGTTAACCTGGGCTGGATCAGGCAGTGTTGGGATCTGCAGAGAAGAGCTTGGTGCTTCCTGCACAAAAGAACACAGAGAGAGACCCAAGTTAAAAGGGCTTCTTGGTTTTGGCACCACACGGCCAAAAATGTCTGACCTTTGTGTGTGCAGGTGCTGTGGTTCCTCGAGTGCTGTGGGAGATGTTAATGAGCCCATTCTGAGATGTGCTCTGGAATTTGAGGGTGAAGATGCTCTCGGAGCATCGCTGCCCTGCTGGCATTGTCCTTTACCAGAAATTGTTCTTCCATTCTGATATTTCCTTCCCATTTTCTCTGCCCTGTGATTTACTGGTGTCCATCATTCCATGAAGCAAAACAAGCCAAGATCCTCCAACCCCTACAGCTTCCCTTCCCTGGTTATCTTGCTAACCCTGCTGTGCTCCGTGCTCTGCTCAGTTTTCATTCTTCTGACCCACTTTGGATATAGTAATCCAGTTTTAGTGCCTTGAACAAAGGCATTAGTATTTCATTTTTCACAGCCGTGGTGTAGCTCTCACTTAGCCTCCTGCTCTGTGAACTTGCCAAAACTGAGGAAACAAAGCAAACAAGCACAACCTAAAATTGTATTCCCTGTTCTGAATGCGTTTGTTCTCACGTTCATTGTTTGTTTGAGGAGAGAATAGAGCTGTGCATCAACCTATGCAAGAGCAGCACTGCACAGAAATAGCTGATGAGAACTGTAAAAATGTGACTTTTTGAAGTAGGGTGAATGCTTTGCCTGGGCTCCAGCCCCCTCAGTCAGATCCTGCTGAGCTCCATTTTTAACGGTGAGTTTCAAAATAGCAAAGGAGCAGGGAAAACCCTCAGCTCTTCCTTCAGGCTGAAAGATTGTGCCTTCCAAGTGACTGGGATGCAAAGATGCAAATAGGTCTGCCTCAGAGAAATGATATTTAATGGTCGTAGGAAACTGAAATCGGCTTCCACGTCAGGCTGCCTTGGGGTTTCCTAAACACATTTGTAGGCAGATGCACCCAGAAGCATTCAGAACATGGGAGTGTTATGAGAAATCACTTTTACATGCATGCTCATGTTTTACAAATTAATCTTACACTGTGGAGGGAGAACCCAGCAGGAGTGGGATGTCACTGGGATTTCCTGCAGACAGAAAATTGGACCAGAATGCCTTCGAGAGCTCCCTAAAAAGAGATCTTAACAGGCTGATCCAAGAAAAACTAGTGAAAGTGGGTAGCTTGCTATCTCCCAGGACCTTGGCACGTGTCCATCTGCCTCCTCCCTGTCCCTAGACCCTGGAAGAGATCAAGGGCTTAAATCTTGAGTGCTGTGTACACGATTTGCCAGTGTACAGACTAAAGCTGCATGTGTAGCTGTCCATTCAGATCTCACTGTCCCCGTCACTACACCTGTGCCATTCAGAAAGTCTGCAGTGACATTTGAGTGTAGATTAGCCTGGATCATACAGCAGTTTTAAATCATCAAAACTATGCCTGTGGCATAATTTAGAGGCAGTTGTCACACAAGGCAGAATTTAAGTAGATTGCACAGGTCAGAGCTGGCAAGGGGAAGGACCAGGTGCTGTGGTAAGGGAATGTACAGGACTGGGTTGTTTTACAGCTGAGGACAAACCCAGGAGTTCTGTACAGTCCTGTAGACAGGCTTTATTGTTAAAAATCAATTATGCTTTCATGGAAATTCCCAGATGACTGTGTTCACTTACAATTTTCCAGTCAAAATGAGGCTCAGCCAAAGTACCCAGCAAAGCCTGGGCTGTTATAGAGCTGTCAACATCTAACTGAAATAAATTATTAGATTCAAGTGAATCGAATATGCCCAGCAGCATTGGGGTATATGGGCATCTACCTAATTCTGTGTGCATTTCCATTAAATATATAGTCAGTGAAGTCTTAAAAACCACAAATCAGTCTAGTTTTCCTAAATAAGACCCCAGTGGTTCTAAATTGAAATGGTCTTTCTGCCTCTCATTGCATGTCCTGGTGACAGCCTTTGCCATGAACAATGAATTAGATTAAGGATGTTAGGCTGGGAGGCAGCAGTAACAAACAGTGCACAAGTAGAAGCAATATTCATTCTTCCCATCCTCTTTCAGCTTTCTGCTGAACTCAGCACAATAATTCCAGGCCTTTGCAGCTGTAGACACACAGGTTAGCCATGATAAGGAAATTATTTACATCTTGATCTGCCTTTGGAGTCAAGCTGACCTTTGGAGATGGATCCCTACCTCAATGCAAAGCCTGTCCAGTGGAGCTGAGGGAGTTTGATGCCCACACAGTTTGATTTTGTTAGAGAATGAGGCTGATCCCCTGCTCCAAGTGCAGATTCCCTGGGAGCACTGGGGCTTTCCCAGGCACAGCATCTCCAGGTGCTGGAGGCCCTTCAGTGCCGTGCTAGGGAACACAAGACACCCTTCCTACTCTCTTGTGGGCACTCAACTTTTGTTCTTTATTTTAACACCTCTTTCATCTAAAATGAAAGATATTTCTCACTTTATGAGAAAACAATAATTCCTCATGTCCTAATGAAGAAAGCATTCTTCATTCAGCCTCTTCTGTGATATCTCTTAAGCCTTTACACCAGTGTAACACATGACAGAAAGGATGAAATACCTTTGAGACTGCAAAACAGAGATACAGAGAAGTATATGTATAAATACCAAATATAGATGTGCATAGAGCTGGATCCAAAGCATAGATAGATGGTGATGCCAGGCAAACAGTCATCAATCATATCCAAGTCTCTACTCACAGATAAATTGTGGTTTACATGAGTTATTCCATTACATTGGGTTGGTATATATGAATTATTTTTTAAAAAAAAAAAGTCATCTCCTTGATAGAAGTATCTTCCTAATAAACCCCATTTATCAAAAACGCAAATTTACAGTGCCTTTTGTTTTGTTCATTTCCTTTCAGTACATTCATTTTCAAATTATCACCAAATTAATCATGTCCAGAGCTTTAAACTGGTTGCCATGTGGTAAAGCTGTTCTGGTTCCTCTCCATTACACTGAGCATTAGTTATTAAGGCACAGTTCGAGGCTCAGTTTAGCCTGATTCTGCCCTGAACCTAATTGGAATCAGCTAGATTCTTCCTTGTAAATGGGTCAGTCACACAGAAAAAGCATCAAATGTAATCTCGAGATTGTGAAATAAAGCAGAGAAATAGAAAAAAGAAGATAATTTTATTTCTCCTCATTGATACCTGCCTGGTGGTTAAAAGAAGGATTAAAATGAGGTCATTAAACTTTCCTTGGAGACAAAACCCAGACCTCAGTGGTAATATGATTAATCAAATATAAAAGTGGATCTATTCTGAATGAATAACTCATTTTTATAGAATATCTAATTACTGAAATGTCGTCTGCTGCAGAAAAAAAAAAAGGGGGGAAATTAATTGCAATAACAATTCAAGAAGATAAAGTTTTTCTGAATTAGGTCTACACAAGAAGCTAAATTGAGTTGATTAAGTAATTTTGGTTTCAGGAACACCCTTGATGGAAGTTAGTGGTAATGAATTTTTCAGACCTCAGAGTTTAAAATTGCCAAAGACCAGTGATTAAAAAAAAAAAAAATCAGGAACGATAGTTTCATTACAAATTTCAATTTTCTGTCATAAAAAAAAAAAAAAGCATGGGGGGGATATAAAAAAATGCTCTTTGGTTTCTCTCAGATTGGACACGTGTAGTACCTGGTGTAAAATCAAGAATGATACAACCTCCTCTGCAGGCTGGGGAGTGTAATCTGTGAGCTCCACATGGGAGGCAGAGCCAGGAGGAGCAACACAGATTCCATGTGCTTCCTGCATATGTTCCACTTGGAACATTCAGCACGAGGCTCTCCTGCCCCTGCAGAGCTTTCAGCAGCTCTTTCACATCCATCCTCAGCACCGCGGAGATGCGTAACAGTGCATCTTTGTGACACGTCAGTTGGTTTGACACTTGGCTTTCTAACCTGCTGGTTTGATGGTTTGTGCAGCTGGGTTAATATTATAATTATTATTGTAATTATAATTATATTTATAATAATATAATTTAAATTGTTTAATTAATATTAAAATACCATCTAATGTTATCAAAGCACAGACGACCCCTGGCCCACGATAGCGCCCATCAGCCATCGCTCACCGTCCCTCATTTGTCATGAGCCCTCTCATTTGCAGCATCTGGCAGAGCTGTCTCCTGCTGCAATGTCTCATTTAGCAGGGATTTTTCTCCTCCCCTGATCAGTCTGTGCAGGATCTAGAGGGAGGAGCCACAGACCACATCCCCACCCCATGCTTTCCATGGAATTGTCCGGTGAGAAGGAGGCTCCAGGCAGGTGTGAGCTACCTGTGTGCAGCGAGGTGTGACAGGGACACGTGTCACTGACAGAATCTCTGCAGTCAAAGGAAATGCCAGAGGAAAATGCCCTTGTTACTCTGTGCTGTGCTGCCGTGGAAATCGCCCTGGGCTCCACCAGCAGATCCGTGTGTGTGGATCAGACACCGTTCCCATCATCTCTGGTGTGTCAGTCAGGCTAAAATTTCAAGGAGAAATCAGACATTGATGCTCCTGTATCACATATCTACCCACATTTCTTGTCTGACATTTCTCCACCTGTAGCACTTCCCTCAAATTTGAATTGTTTCTTGTAGATTTTGTGCCTCTTTCTGCTTTTGGTTATGTATGAAATATCCTAATTCTCCTCCTCAGCCCAGACCTGGCCTTGGAAAGCCTCATGTAGTTGTTGGAATGTGGACACCCAGCACCATCGTGGTTATGCTGGATGTCCACACAGCCCTGGCATGGTGTCTGCCTTATGTCCCAGGCAAACACCCATTTGTGCTGGATTACTTCATTATCTTAAAATTCCACAGCATCTCAGGCACTGGTGTGAGGCTGAGAAATTTAAATACATTCTGTAATTCCATTATTGAAATAAATCCTCTCCTGAGGTTGGCTAACTTCCTTGGGTCGGCAGGTTTTTAATTCTTCAGTATTCTGTTGCTTTAAAAACAGTTGCTTCCAAGGGCTGTCATTTTAAGAGGATATATATCTGGAATTTCATTAAGTACATTTCACTTATGAAATCTTTAGTGACATGCTGTGGGGGAAAATAAATGGAGATTTAGCAAAGGATTTGGGAGTGCTATGAGTTTTCTCTTATCAAATCTTTCTGACTGTCCAGGATGTCTTAGAGCTTCCTAGCTGTAGAAGAATGGGTCACAACACAGAGAACAGCCAGTTAAAATCAGAGAATGCTTGAAAGGTTTCACAAAGTTTTTTTGAGCTTTTTCATATTGCTCAGCATAGTGCAATAAGAGGTTTTAATTGCTAAGAAACAAAAAAAAAGGAGAAATAATATTCTTTTCTTTCCTGAATTTACAGGTATAGAGTGACTCCATCTTTGCTTTGCCCCAATATCCTTGTTTCTCACAGCATTTCTCTCCTCCATTCCACAGGAAATGTTGTAAACAAAATTTCAGCAAGAAGCCTCCTTTTCATGGCGAGGCTGATTAATTACAGTGTTTAATGTAGACTTTTCTGTGCTCTGAGTTTCTGTAAACAGGCATTTCTCTAGAATGCCAGATTCTCACTGGGTGAAGGTGGCAGGGAGTTGGGCTAGGTGACCTTGACAGGTCCCTTCCAACACGAACCATTCTGTAATTCTGAGATTTTGAGGATTCCATCTTTTCCTGTAGAAACCCTGGCACAAACCTCCTCTGAGTGCAAGTTCTCACTCCTCTGGCAGACACTGCCATTACATTTTAAGCATCAGTAAGGACATAAAGAAACATCCATTGTGGCACCAGTGCAGGAGATCATGTCTTTAAACCACAGAATAAACCCCACTTTTAGAATAAAACACCTGCTTCAGTGGCTTTCTCCTACAAGACTGCTCTGTCCAGTCAGGAACCCTTTTTTATAGCCAGACCAGAGGGTCTTCCAGTGCCTGATGATGGAGTTCCAATCTACTCATTAAAAAAAACCAAAAACCCCCTGTGTGCTAATTCTGAGACTAATCTGGAAATAACAGAGATTTCAATTGCAGTGCAGAGGAAGCCTGAGCAGGAGTCAGTGTGCAGATGGGCTGAGCTGTGCTGCACAGGAAACTTGTTAAAAATCTCAATACCAGGATTACAGCATATGTAAAAAATCAGTTTCAGTACTCTCATAAGTCTTCCTTTCCCAAATACTCATCTTGAGGTCCCAGAGGCACACGAGCAGCTTTCATATGCCTTAAAATCTGAAAAAATTAAATTAAAAACTCATTATGGGGAATGGGCAGTTAATAAGAAAATCCTAAACCAGACTTATCAACTTAAGGCCCTTCTTTATGAAACTTTATTACAGGTGCCTCAATTGAAACATCCCCTTCTAGACATGTTTCACAAGGGATATAGAGCCAGACCTGTGGAGTACATTTTGCTCTCTTAGGAACTGAGCTCTCTCACTCAATTTTTGCTGCTCTGGTTTACATTTAAATCAAGAAAATCATGTTTTCAGAGTGTTGTTCAAAGCAGCGTGGTTATTTGCTGCTTTGCAGTTTGCAGGAGAAGGAAATGTGTGCCTGATGTGCCAACAAATGAATTGATTGCATCCTCTTTTAGGGAGCTGGTTATTTTAGAGAGTAAAAGTACCGTCTAAAAAGTAAAAAAAGTGAAAATTCAAAGTGGAAAGCCCCCCGTGCCATGGTGGGGGGTGCAGGGGGCACTGCTTTGGCAATCTGAGGTCAGGGTACCCAAACCCCTGGTGCTTTGGTTTGAGGTGGTGGAATTTCCCAGCTGGGAAGCAGAACAAGCTTTTTTTGGCCTGCCCAGGCTGTAGAAAGCTGTGTGGGCTCCCCAGTGGAACTCAGAGGCTGGGAAGAGCCGTGCTGGGATCCAGCTGATCCCAGTTCCCTGGCAGCCTTGGCACGGCAGCAGCTCAGCGAGGATCACAGGGCTCTGTGACAATGCACTGGGGAGATCGATAGGCTAATCCAGGCTGACCTAATGGATTTATCAAGTAACACATGAATTAATGATGTGCTCAGGATTCTGCCCCAGCCCAGGGCACGGCTCCAGCCCGTTCTGCAGCTGCCTCAGGAGACAGGCAAGTCACTTCAGCCTTTGGTTCTGCAGCTGAAGGGGAGCATAGGGCTGTCAAGCACTGTAAAGCCATGGTGTATCTGTGCAAAAAATGTTCTGTTATATAAATGTATATGGGGTTTTTTTTAAGAATGAGGCTTCATAGGCAGCACCAGCTGTTTAAAAATCTATGTCTCTGTTTTAAAGAGAGCATTACTAATTACACCTGACAATCAAATAGTCTGCAGAAAAGTATTAGCCACCTTTTCTTGCTGCTCATTCCATGGGCAAGAAACAAAGGTATGTTAGACAAGAGAGCAAATGAAATGTTCAAAGGATCCTTGTCTAAAACTGAAAAATAAAGGGCTGTGCTATCAGATCAGAATTTTAATGTATATTGTTTCCACTGGCTCCTGACATAAAATCTTTCATTGTTGGGTATAATCATTGTTAAAGGTCACCGTGCAAAGGCTACATCATTTAGACGAGATGAGATCCCATTTTGGATAAATTCACAATTTTAGTTCCTAACAAGGAGATAGTATCAGGATTTGAATGTACAAGAGTGTCGGTTTACGGATTAAAGGCTTTTGTGTTCTGGAAACCACACTATGCCAGATTTCGTGAGTTTCAGTGTAGAAGTGCAAGTCCCCAAAGTCAAGTAGGTTGATTAAAATGGTTCTTTATAGCCTTTGAAATAGAGATAAAGTACAGCTTTCCTACATGGGGTTAATGTAGAATTTTTTTTTCTCCTTGGCAAGGCTATATGCCTTCCAAGGACATAATTTTAATCTCTTTTTAAACCTTTCATACGAATATTGTAAAAAGCTCCTTTGTGTTGTAATGCATTTTTATAAAATATCTAAACTTCTATGCAAACTTCTAACCTCATTTCTTAAGATATATTTATTTGGAAATGGTTATCTTGCAGCAGAATGGTGTCTTGTGTCATCATTTCTGCAGCATCTTTTCATACTATCAAAAGAATGTAACATCTGATAATGAAAAAAAAAATTAGTGCTCTTTGTCAGATATGCAAACTACTTCTTTTTTTTCTTTTTTTTTTTCTTTTTTTATTTTAATATCCTTTTACTATTATGTGCTCTGAACTCCTGGCAAGTACTCAAAGAGTCTTTGAACCAAGGTGAAACCTACACATTCCTTCCTCACACCGGAGTCGGAAGTGAGAGAGTTTTCTTTTGCTGCTTCTGAAAGAAAGGGTATTGCTTTATTCTCCTCTGCTCCAGCTTTGTCCTCATATTCAAAGAGTAAAATTTGTATATTGATCCAGAGTTAGTCATTGCTCGAGATTCTGAAAGATGACACCAGTAAAGACAAAGTGCAAAGGCAGTGGCTGTCACCTGTGGCAGGAACACGACACAGGCTGTCTGTGTTCCAGCCTCAGATCAGCTTCAGAAGCGCCAGACTTTAAGGCTTGCTGTTGTTTTTCAAACTCTCCCAAAGAAAAAGAAAGCAGCACAAGGAGACCACGCTGAAGATCACTCCAGCTTCCTGCACAAACTCTTGTGGGCAGGTGGGTGCCTTGTCTCCAGCACACCATGCCTCCTTTGCAGCTGGGTGAGGTGATTTAGCAGCACAAACTGCTGAGGACAAAGGCAGAACTTCCAAAGCATCTTCTCAAAGCTGGTGAGCTCACTCTCGTGTCCTTCCTTGTCTGGGCTGGGCAAGGCTGATTCCTGCCTGACCACCACGAGGTGCCTGCAGCCCGGGCAGTTCCTTTGTGACAGCTGGGTATGGATGCATCCATGGATGGACTGTGGAGTAGATCCATGTGGATGTGAAGCTGAAGAAGGGAGTTTTTTGGCCATG